TACGCAGCTGCTGCGCGACTCGGAGGCGGAGGTTCGGCGCTGCGCCGCTGGAAAGGTATGCGCAGCGCGCCACAACACGCTGTGCCCTGTGCGAGCACTGCTGTGGTGTACACATAGTAACTCTGTGTGTGTGTGTATGTGTGTGTTCTTTACGTCTACGCGTGCTCATGGTTGCGTGCACCCTCTTTCGATTGTCAGGTGTACGATTTCTGCCTTGCGCTCGACCCGGAGACGCGTGTGCGCACGATTGTGGATGCGATTGTGCCATGCATCGAGAGCATATCGCAGGACCCAAACGAGCACGCCCGCGCCTCGCTGGCAAACGTCGTCATGGGCCTCTCCAGTGTGGTCGGCGCCGAGGAGTAGGTTGCTGCCGTGCTCTCGTTGCCGTGCTCTCCTGTGTATCATACCGTGGTCTTGAGCATTGCTTTCCTTGCCATGTGATGCTGCTGCTCACCTTTCTGCTGCTGCTGCTGCTACCACTGCTGTTTCTCGCCTTTGCACGGCCTTGTTCTCGTTCATTTTCGTGTTTGGCAGGACCGTGCGCTGCTTGCTGCCGACATTCCTTCGCCTGTTGAGGGACGACGTGAGTGAGCATGCCCTTTGTTCTTGTGGTCCTGATCAGCTGCTGTTTGTTTGTTTGTTTGTTTGTTTGTGTGTGTGTGTGTGTGTGTGTGGTGTTTTGTTTTTGTTTTTTGCGTGTGTGTGTGTGCGTGTGTGTTTGAAGCTGTGTGAATGCTGCCGGCATCTGCGTGCCACCTCACGCCTTTCGCTCATGTGCCATCTACCGTCAACCAGGACTCGCAAGTGCGCCTGAACGTGATTTCGCGGCTGAGCGAGGTGAATGCTGTGATTGGGCTGGGTCACCTCTCAAAACCGCTGCTGCCTGCCATTGAGAAGTTGGCCAAGGACGCAAAGTGGCGCGTCCGCCTCGCAATCATCGAGTACCTGCCAACCATCGCAGAGCAGCTGGTGCGTGTGAGCATGTGTATGTGTGTTCGTGTGTCAGTGCGTGAGTGTGCGTGCGCACTTGTGTGTTGGTGTCTTGCCGCTGCGTTGTCGCTTGTGCTCTGCTCACAATTCTTCGTTGCTGCGTGCGTTTGTGGTTGCTGTTAATCTAGGGTGTGGAGTTTTTCAACTCAGACCTGAGGCCGTTTTGCACGGAGTGGCTGCGTGACAGCGTGTACGCCGTCAGATCCGCAGCAGTCGCAAACTTCCAGAAGCTCACGAAGATCTTTGGCGAGCCTTGGGCAATTGTGAGTTGCACAGGGATGGCTGTTTCAGCGTGAATTCCGTGTGGCTTGCGTGCTGTGGGTGTGCACGTGTGTGTGTACGTGTTTGCGTTTTGTGTGTGTGTGTGTGTGCGTGCGTGTGTGTGTGCGTGCGTGTGTGTGTGTGTGTGTGCGCACTCGCTTAACTTGTGTGGCGCTGCTTCCTGATTTTTGCTTCGCGTGCGTCTGCCTGTAGTCTGTTGTGCTTCCCGCCTTGGAGGAGCTTTCCGAATCATCCAACCACGTCCACAGGCTCACTTGCCTCTTTGCCCTCAAGGTGTGTGTGTGTTGTATTGTGTTGTGTTGTGTTGTGTTGTACAAAGTGCGCGCACACACACACAACACAACACATGCCCCGTTGAATGCTGCCGAGTGAAGCCTTTGAACTGTGTTTCGCTGTCTACGACTGGTTGGTCAGAGCTGCTCTCACGACAGGTCATGAGCCCTCCCTTGCGCTCCTCCACCTTCTCATCTGGTTCCGTCATGGACATGTGTGTGTGTGTGTGTGTGTTGTGTGTGTGTGTGTGTGTGTGTGTGTGTGTGACCAGGCCCTGACACGGGACCTGACACCAGACATTGTTGCCGGCAAGCTTGTGCCGATGACCCTGTCGCTCTCAAAGGACAAGATCCCCAACATCCGCATCAACGTGGCCAAGACGCTGAGGGTGATTCTGCAGCGACTCAAGCACACGCCGCACCTGCGGCCGGAGGTGAAGACCACCCTGGACACGCTGGCACAGGACCCGGATGTGGACGTTTCGGAGTATGCAAAGGAGGCGCTCTCCTGTAAGTTCCCTCGTGGTTTGCCTTGCATTCCTTGTCTTGCATCGCATCTGCGTGGTGTCTGTTTGTGCTGTATTGTGCTGTGCGTGCGTTTTTCGTGTGGTGTGTAGTGCTACTATCTGAGCCACCTTCTGTGCCGCCTGTTGTACGTGTGTGCTTTTCTCTGTGCTGTGTGCTTGGCTTGGCTGCATCCTCACGCGAGGCTTTGTTCTGCTTGCACGGCCCGTTGCAGCCATGGATTCCTTCGTCTGAGGAATGCTTTGTGGTGTGGTGTGGGGTGCGGGCGTATTCTCCTCCCTCTTTCCCCGCTTGTCTGGTGGCGTGTGGTAGGTTAATTGGTTGCTTGTCCGAGTATGGTGAGCGTGAGTTCGACAGCGGCGTGGGCGATGCATTTGGGCATTGTGTGCAGCTCGTGATGGGATGGTGAGCGCCATGCTCCGTGTCACGTGTTCGCCGTCCTGGCGGTGCAGCAACAGTGTCCAGTGCGTTTGCTGAAACTGTTGTCTCCTGGTGTTCCTGTTCATTTTCCGTGCTTTGTGGTTGCGTCGTGCGTTCACACCCCTTCTGTTGCTTCGACATCCTTCCGAACTTGCTTCTTCGAGTCGTCGCTGCTTGTGTAGTTGCCACTTTACTTTCTTTTTCCTCCTTTCTGTCTTTGGTTGTTGTTCTTCTTGTTATTGTTCCTTGGTGTGCGTTCGTCACTCGTCGTGTATTGTGTGTGTGTGTGTGTGTGTGTGTGTGTGGTAACGGATGTGTTTTCGCTTTGCCTGCTTACTCGTTGCGTGTCCTCTACATGTGTCTCGTGATTGGCTCTTGTCCAGTTACAAAACCACATAGCGAAGGGTGTGCGTTGGTCTCACAACCCCGTCACATGCATGAAACAGAAATATCACAAATAATGCGCATGCGCACGCGCGCATGTTGGGGTGCCACGCCTACGCAATAGGGTGTTGGTGTTGGTGTGATGTGATGTGAACCAGTATGGGTGGGGAAGGCTGGATGAAACGAGGTTGTGCGAGGGGAATAACAACAACGGAGTGGTTCCACCAACCAAAGAAAAAGGAAAAAAAAAAAACATTAAGCAGCCCGATGTGAGATACAACCTGTCAAGGTGCGTACCAACAACACTAACAACAACTAAACCCCCCCCCCCCCCGCACACACACACACAACGACGCCTCGTTATTTCACAGCTGGATTGCACTTTTCAAGCATCTCACACACAGCTTCAATGACGGTGGCGGTCAGGTGGTTTTACTACTCCCCGATGCAAATGGCAAATCATTGCAGACAATACGATATGACCTACACGCCTTTCTCAAAGCACTGCATCTGCAGATGCCTCGAGGAAAGTTGTACATCTGCATGTTACTGGTGTTATTATGACTCTTTCCTCCGTGGCCTGGTTCCCATCAACCATCCTTGTCGTCAATGTGCATGCATGCGTGCATTTCCAATACAAAACAAAGCAAGCTGGCGCTACTGCACGGCACTGGCAGTCGTGCCCATATCACAACAGCATGGTTGCCTCACGACCTGTCCACTGCAGATCGGGCCAGCACTGTCATCAGCTGCGATAAAATGTTATGCGACCGAACAGAGGCTGGACACACCTCCCGTTCAATGCCAGACAGAAGCTGGTTTGCCTCTCCAACGGCACTCTTCAGACTGCAGTGGAGGGGAACCAAAAAAAAAAATGTGGCAGAGGAACAGCGGTGAGCGGCGAAGCATCAGCGTATGAGTGCGAGAGCAGACAAAATGGGAGTCAGCCCACAGCAAGTGTTGCGACAGCACACGGTGTGACGTCTGCACGTACTCGGAAGCGTATGCAATGAACGCCAGGTGATCGTGTGCCTTTGGGTCCAACGGAAGCAGCGTCGCACCCGTGCTCTGTGTGAGACGCTGAAGGCCCTGCACCCTGCAGACACAACCCAGCAAGCAGACAACTGCGTTGAGGGCTGCAGAAAAGAAACAAACAGCATATCCACACAACGAACAACACCCTGGAAGTGCACACACACATGCACGACACACACACACACACACACACACACACGCATGCACACCTGAGGAGCTGATACAGCACGGCAACGTTCACGGGCGCAGCGTAGACAAGGTGAACAGTGTTGGCAGCAATCACAACTTTGCCGGGAATGAGGGCAAGCCGACGCGAGCCAGGGGGCGGCAGGAGAGCAGGACGCGATGATTCTGCCGTCAGCGACGACAAGGAAGCGGAAGAGGATGACGATGAAAGCAGAGGCCCCCGGCTGCCTTCGGCGCCACGGGGAGGCGTGGTATTCTGTGGCGGTGCGTCGCCATGTGGCTCGCTCTCAAGCCCACCAGCGCCAGCGCCACGCTGCGGGCTGGGCGTGCTTGCAGGCATGGCATGGAGCCAGCGAGCACACACATAGGGATCCGAGGCACAGTCAAGCACATGGCAGACGGTCACGCGAGGCCCGTCCACAACGAAGCGGATGGACGCATGGCCAACGACGTGTTTCTTGGCCATGTTAGATGCGAGGCGCTCTGTGATTCGCTCCACACTCGAAACAACAGACTGCGGCAGGTCCGCTGGCGGAGACACAAACACTTTGGCGACATCACCCGTGGCTGCATCCTCCACGCTCTTTTCATGCCACGCACCAAGCAGCGACCACGAACCACAAGGGTCAATGACCACGTCAGCAACGACAAACGTCGTCTCATCCTCGGCTGCACCTCCTGCCAACGCAGCTGCTGTTCCCGTATCGCCCTGAGTGCCCTCCTCTTCCCCTTTCTCCTTCCCCTCTTCACTCTGCTCACTTTGCTGCTGCTGGGAGGCGGGCATGCGTGCAGGCACGGCATGCGGGCCGGCTGGAGCCAGATGGAACGGGTCACCAACCAATATCACACCACCGCTCTCCACAAAGAAGGCGAGAAACTCTGGCCACCCCTCAGGAACACTTG